GCGCCAGACTACGCTATGTGCCCAAGCTTACTTCTAGAGTCTTTAAGTACCATAGAACCTCAATGGCTGAATGGGCCGTTGACTGTTGACGAATGGTACCGAATTGTGATTCCGTTCCGAGGTTCTTGGTGGATGTTGTGAGCGCGAACCGGCTGGGGCAGGAAGACGGCCCGAGTCAACAACCTCTCATTTCAATTGCTGCCAAACTCAATCCCATGGGGTCTTCGGTGGCTTGCTTCCATTTGATCATTCGGACTTGGACCAATGATATCACCAGTCTCACTTTGATCACCTCGAAGTCGTGGTTACGTTACCTTCTATGAGGCCAAGACTTGGAGACGGCGCGAAAACACTACTGTGTAGTGTAGGTATGCCGACGACGCTGTGGGCAATGGACACATCCAGCTTTCGCCCGTCCAATGAGAGACGCTCTAGAGCAGTTGACGAGTTATCATTGCTTGATAGCGTGACGTAGAACTCTAGCCTGCCAAGGGATCCTGACCGGCTCTCGACGGCAAATTGGCAGAGCAATTGGCAAAGCAATTGGCTTCATGTATCTGCCAAGATGCCAAGAGGCACAATCAAAGCTTACGGTAACGCCATCGGGGAATGGGAATGGGATTCCATCTGGGTGCTGCTAGAGGCGCAGACAACTCGACCAGCCACCTGCATAATCAGAGAGCAGGCCTTTCCATCTCCCGCGGGATGCTTGACGTGATGTGAGCAGCAAATGAAGCTTCTTTGCCCCCAAAGCCAAGTCGCCAATGCGCCTGGCCATCCCGCGATGAGGCATCTCTTGTCCCCCGGCAGCCTCATTGCTTGTCGCCAATCCCCAAAAGCTTCGCTCCGCCTTGGCCCAAGGGGTCCATCGCAACATTGCTCAATCATATTTCGCCAGAGCCCAGGACCAGGTATGTGGTTTAAATAAACCGGACCTGCTACCCATGCGGCGAACGGCAGCTGGAACGGCGTCTTCACCCACACGAAGCACGCAATGGGCAGCCAATCGTCGGGCAAAAGTCTCATCTTCGCTAGGTATGAAAATGCCTCGTTCTTCCTGTCGAAAGGCCGTACTACCCTTTCCGTACGCAGCGCAAGCCACGCTGCTGGGCCGCGTGGGATGGAACATGGACCGGACACACCGATGCCAAGCTGCTGGGACGCGCTGACGAATGGTCTCGAACTGCTGTCAGCAGTCAATGGCATTCAAGAGAGCCCCGGTCCAGATAGACCGAGAGCTATCGGTATGTCACTGGCAGCGATGTGCATCCTGCAGAGGACCAGACAGCTGCAGCTGACCCAACATGGTGGGCACTCCGTCACCGAATCTCTTATGCTGCTTCTCCCGCCTGTACACGTTTGGGCGACCACGCTTGATAGCAGTGTGAGAGATCATAGCACCAGCCAACAGCGCAGGCAGTGTGGCTGTCGCACAACACGCATCGTATCTGAGGACTCTAACTACCTTCTCGAAGGGGGTTGATAAGGCTCTCTATTTTCTCTACAGCGTCATCAAGCATCATAATATAGATACATGTAGATACGTTCCCCCAGGTACCCCTCTCGTCAGTGTTGGTGGGTGAACCTTGTCGACTCTCGAGCTCTGGCCAGTCTTTGCCCACGCTGGAGAGTCGTTTTCAGGGACCGATAACTTGCCGGGACTCGGAAACATTTCACGCGGAGTCTAATTAGAAAAGCCATTTCGAGAGACATGAGTTATTACTACTTGTGGAGTATAGAATCAAAGTACTGCCGTTACTACAGATAGCTACACCGGCTACAGGACATAGACTGGAGAAACAACAACCCGTGGCATGAACTCCGAGGCTTGGAAAAGAGAGGGAACCATCCCCGGAAGAAACAAGCTGGACCGCCCCCATCTTCCCCCATCCCCCGGTCGCCGCCTCCTCGCTACCTCTCCCTCATACCTCTTCGGGCCCATCCCGCGTTGGGTATGGTTCGCACAGAGACATCCACTCTCTTGCAGTCCTCCCTCTTGCAGTCCGTCACCCCTCAGTCTCACCCCACTGTTCCCGCCTCTCTGTCCGCTGCGACGCTGCAGTGTAATTGCTGCGGTCCCTGATCTTTGGGAATTCTTGAAAAGGATCTGCGGTCGCAGTGTTGGTCGCGCCGAAGAGCTCTCTCGGTCCTTTCTCGCTCTTCTTCCTCTTCTCCTACGTGCGGCTTTTCCTAACGTACTTCTTTTCACACGAAGAGCAAAAACCACATCAGACCCGAGACATCGACCGGTGCTTGTGTGTAGTGTGAAACCCTCATGGAATTCAAAGTCCAATTCTTCTGTCTCCTTCTCAAAGCCCTTTGGTAATTTGAGGTTCACATAACCGTGACTTCTCCAAGGCTACAGATCAATCCCAAGATTATCAACTTCGCTCAACCCGTCACGAGCGCACACTTGGACCGCAAAGTTCCCCTCTTCTCCGATCACCCTTCCGACTCGACTCGAAACGAGGCCGCGCCGAGATCCCCCACTAAACCGGGCCTAATCCCCCACATCTTTCCCCTCGCCCCGACCGACCGACCATGTCATCCACCGGCATCGAGCGAGCGGGACACCGCGACGGCCTTCCCAGCTACGGAGGCGGCTACTCCGAACATGGCCGTTTTCCCGATGAAAAGGGCGTCGGTGAGCCATATGGCGAGCCTCTAGACGGCGGGTTTCGCTCTTCCCTCGATTCCGGCGACAAGGGAGACCATACTCACCGCAAGCTCAAGTCGCGCCACATTCAACTGATTGGCATTGGCGGAACAATTGGTAGGTCTTTACACGTGATTTCTAGAGACAAATCCAACTCACGTTGTATGCAGGAACCGCTCTTTACGTACGTTGCTATGAAGCACAAGTCGATCATAAATCACATCTCACCTCAGGTACTCACACAAACACATAGGTTCAAATCGGAAGAGGCTTGCTCAATGGCGGCCCCGCCAGCTTATTCCTCGCCTTCACCATCTGGTGCACTTTCATCTTGGCCGTGACTTTGAGCATGGCCGAGATGGTCACCTACCTCCCGATCTCGAGTCCCTTTATCCGCTTCGCCGGTCGCTACGTCGATGAGGCTTTTGGTTTCGCTGCCGGCTGGAACTTTTTCGTCTTTGAAGCCGCTCTCGTCCCCTTTGAGGTTGTCGCCTGCAACCTGATTATCCACTTTTGGAGCGACGTGGTACCCGCAGGAGGCATTATTGCCATCATTCTCGTCTTATATGGTATTATCAACGTCATGGCGGTGCAGTGGTACGGAGAGACGGAGTTCTGGGCTGCGCTTGGCAAGTTCTTGCTCATCGTAGGACTCATCATCTTTACGTTCATCGTCATGCTGGGAGGTATGCTACTCCATGCATAATATGCTCGGTAGTTCGAAACACCATACTGATTCTATCTATAGGAAACCCGCTTGGAGACAGATTCGGCTTCCGGTAGGCAATTGTCTTTGTGCTCTCTCTCTCTCTCTCTCTCTCTCTCTCTCTCCCTCTCTGCCACGTCCTTTGATCTGACCGATTGATTCATCTAGATACTGGTACGAACCAGGCGCATTTACAGAGCTCTACTACAGCGGCTCCCTCGGGCGCTTCCTCGGCTTCCTGCAATGCCTAATTCAAGCCTCCTTCACTATCGCAGGACCCGACTACGTCGCCATGGCCGCCGGCGAGGCCGAGAACCCGCGCAAAGTCATGCCCCGCGCCTTCAACGCCGTCTTCTACCGCCTCACCGCCTTCTTCGTCCTCGGCTCCCTTTGCGTCGGCATCCTCGTCCCCTACAATGACGAAGAGCTCACTCGCGCCTTCAAGGACGGCGAGCCCGGCGCCTCAGCCTCGCCCTACGTCGTCGCCATGAACCGTCTCAAGATCAGTGGCCTGCCGCACATCATCAACGCCATGGTCCTCACGGCTGCCTTCTCCGCGGGTAACTCATATGTCTACTGCGCCTCACGATCGCTGTACGGATTGGCTCTCGAGGGCAAGGCACCTGCTTTCTTCAAGAAGTGCACGAAGAAGGGCGTTCCGGTCTACTGCGTCATTGCCGTCTTGCTCATCGGCCTGCTCAGCTTCCTGCAACTCAGTGCCAACACTGCTGTTGTGCTGAATTGGTTCGTAAGCTTGGTCACCGCCTCGCAGCTGATCAACTTCTCCTGCATGTGCACGGCGTACCTGGGTTTCTACCGTGCTCTCAAGGCTCAGGGCATCAGTCGCGATACCCTGCCTTACAAGGCTTGGTTCCAGCCGTACGCTGCCTGGTACGGTCTCATCGGCACCTTTATCATGACGTTCGTTGGAGGATACACCGTTTTCTTGCCTTTGGATGGATACTGGAGCATCCCTGATTTCCTCTTCTCGTAAGTCAAGCAATGTCTCTGGCTGACCTGAATGGTACACTGACAAACGCCAGATACACGATGGTTGGTATTTTCCCCGTGCTGTATCTGGGCTGGAAGTTCCTCAAGAAGACCAAAATCTTCAAGCCTGAAGAAGTCGATCTGTACCGCAACAAGGATGAGATTGACGAGTACGAGAGGACTTTTGTGCCTACTCCTGCCAAGTAAGTTGACGATCTCATCCGATAACTAACAACTAGTTCTAACGGGCACAACCAGGAACGTCTTTGAGAAAGTTCTAGACAAGTTATTTGGGTAGATCATGTTCGAATGTCCGTCCATCGAATCAACGGCATTTAGGATGGAGAGAAATAGATATCCCGTGAGCATGAAGACAACTGAGGATTATTCGAATAAAAAGTCCTTCGTCACTGAACACCGAGTCTATGTCGTACTGTGGCATTTGAATCTCATCCACTTTTTGTCCAAGATGTTACATGAACACTGCTGCCTGCAATAGGTTGTAAAGGATTGCGGCGAAGCGGACGTTTTGCTTGAATTGGACAAATTCCCGTCCGTGTAAGTCACTGTTGGATGACGGGATTTTATCTTTGCGTGCCTGCTTGAGATAATTTAACAACTCAAAGACAACAATCACTTACATCCGAGATGACAGGGTCACAAAACCTAGATTCTAACTTTGGAAGTCTTGGAACCAGGGAGGAGGATTGGCCCGATGTCGATGGAGACCTTGATACAGAGGAGGGTGCCGAGACCATGCGTCGCGCCGATGTAGCTTTACACGCGACCATCGAGAGCTCCATCTCTGAACGAAACGCGCAATCAGCCCAAGGCGAGGAAATCCCAAGGGCCCTCTACATCAAAGCCCAGAACCAACAGTACCATCTCACAGATGACGAGCGGCAGCTCCTCCTTCGCCTCGGCGACGTCGTGGGCAAGACACTCGCTCGTCCTGATTCCCTCTCGACGGATGAGATGCACCAGGCACTCCTCTGGCCTCCACCAGATGTGGTGCGCGCTAACATCCAACGCGCTACGGGTGGGCAGCTCAGCACGCCCATCGAGCTCTATGCCAAGGGGAAGGATGCCTTAGATCGCGGTCATTTCAGCACGGTGTTGAACGACAATGAAGTTGCGCTACTAGCGCGCCACTTTCACGCCAGAGACGATGCATCTTTTTCCGAGGTGGCTATATCGCAAGCTTTAGGCCAGCCTGGGGTTGCACAAGCCGTAGAGCTGCTGTCAAGCATATTGGGACTGGACTTCGCCGTCTCTCACGCTGCTCTGATGCATCAAGCGGGCCAGTTTCAACAAGTACGACAGATGACACCGGCGTTCTCTGGCCTTGGTCCGATGCAGTCCTTTGTCATGCCAGAACCCGCATCGCACGAGCCTCAGGGTCAGTCAAGGCAGAGACAACAGCCTGGCGATGTCATTAACGTCATGATGGCTCTCCATGAGCAGCAACAGCTCGGTAATCTTACAGACGAAGAGATGGCCGCCCAGAACAGCGAATACCTCGCTACCCTCCGAGCATCTTCAGAGGTTCCATCCCTGTTTTCTACCATCAGTTTCCCGTCGTCATGGCCCGCAAGAACTCTTCCGTCGCCCACTGGTCGCTTCGGATCTGGCCCCTGGCCACCCACAGCTACGCCATGCAACCCAATCACCCTGTTCGCTGATGAAGCGGGTATCTCAGGTCACGAGGTCGAGCTTAGGTGGTCCGCACTATCCGAAGAACAAAAGGCAATTTACCGTGCCCGTTCAGAGACGCTGCGCCGCGAGACCTGGGCCCAGTATGAGACAGCTCTGGCCGAAAAGCCGGCACCTTTTGCTCTTCCATCTCCAGGAGAGCGGCAGCAACAAGCGAGGAACTCAGCAGGGCTTGCGAGCCGTGGAGAAAGGACTGCTGGGGTACCCGCACGGATGGGGATTGTCACGGGGCTGGGCATATTTCGCGGTGAGCAAGAGACGGAATGGCAGGAGGTGTTGAAAAGATGGGACATGGAAGCCCTGTCTGAAGAGCAGAGACAGACTTATGAGACTAAGGCTGCGACGGTTAATGCTGCAGCGAGGGCTGCTTTTGAGGAGGGCAGAGTATGGTGAGGTGCATTATTACTACTGATTCACCTAGTCTCATCTGGCCACAGTCTGTCCCTGCATCTACCGTGATTGAAGCTTTATTCCTGCCCATTCGCCACAAGGATGCGGCCGCCATCAATGCATAGGTTGATGCCGTCAACGTACGACTTTTTTTCGCAGATCAGTTCATTAAGTGACGTAAAGGTCGCACCTAGGGTTGATACTCGGGTCTTGAACGTAGGAACGAGAGGGCTTGAGACTTACCCCGGCTCTACTAGCAAGATAGATCACCGCGCCGGCGATGTCCTCTTCTTGGCCAGCTCTTTTCGCAGGAACCTTGTCGAACAAGGAATTAAACATGTTGCCTTCTTGTCCAACAGGATTCATGCGACTTGGGAAGACTAGGTGAATGTGACACGATCAGCAACATCGTCTGCTGATTGGTGGCCTTCCTTCACTTACATCCAGGATTCAGCCCGACGACTCGGACATAGAAATTTCTAAACTTAGCGGCCAGAAGCTTCACCAGGTGATCTGTAGCGGCTTTGCTTGCAGCGTAGCTCGTCAAGTCAACGTTAGTAACATTGTGCATACTGGCACATGAGCTCGTGATGATTATGGCGCCACGTCCTTCACGGCTACCATCATGGGAAGCGGCAGAATGCAGCGAGGGAAGGAATGCGACAGCCAGATAATAGTGTGATGTGACGTTGATAGAAAAAGTTTCTTTCCAGTCAGATGGTCTCGAAGACTGCATCGAAGCTTGTAGTTCGAGGACATTATCAGTCTCGAGGTTGCAAAGATCTAGCGGATCCCGTCGAATACCAGCGTTTGATACCAATAAGTCAAGGCTTCGTTCGCGTTCTTGAACATATTTTACGAGCTTTTCAATCTCAGTATGCGACGACAGGTCGCATGGCACACTGCAAATGTCAGAGATGTGTTGTTATGGGCCAGAATTTCTGCCATACCCTGTCGCATTTCCTCCAGAGGACTTGCCCAAGTCGTTGAGCTCTTTGACAGCTTCATCTATCGGGTCAGTTGGTAAAGCAGCCACGTACACCTTGGCACCATTCGTCACGAGGCCCTAGTAAACTTAAATGAGGATTTGCGATGTTACAAAGGATCACGGTCTTTCGGCCGAGAATCATCATCCTGAGATGTTGAGTCACATACCTTTGCTATCATAAGGCCCAGCCCACTACTGCCCCCCGTCACCACCGCCACATAGCCCTTGACCGAAAAGAGTCGCGTAATGTCCAGTGAAGCCATCCTTAGAATTTACAAATGAAGTGTTTCGAGCGACTTTTGAGGCATGTTCAATGCTGTTCGACGTTCAACCTCGCCTCCATGAACGGCGAATCGCTTATCGGGCTCTTTTGCTGGTCGTCGGTCCGGCCGACATGCATCATCTCCCGTTATCAGACGAGGGCGGGGTAATATCTGCCGTCGGGAGATCCGACCGTCTTCTCACTTACATCCCAACACAGTCATCAGATATGGCGCCAGAACTTGTGGTCGCTCAAGCCAAAACGTCGTGCAAGCGATGTCACCGACGAAAAAAGAGATGTGATCGCGGGTTGCCACAATGCCGAAATTGTAGCGGGGCTCAAGTGCCGTGTAGCTTTCTCGATGATGATCGTGTTATGGCGTCTTACCCCGTCACGTAAGTGATGTAACTTTGCAATCTTGTGTAAATAATTTGACAGTTGCTGAATAGAACATGTTGAATAGATACGTGCGCAATCTCGAGGCAAAAGTAAAGTTTCTCGAAAAGGAACTCGATTCAATACGATCCGCGACAGGAAGGACACCAGACCCTCAAGTGCAAGTCATAGATCTGGATCCAAATGACATAGAGATTACCCTAAGTCACCAAGGGGTGGATGCGACCAGCACAAACCTGCCTTATGAGCCCTCGCCTGCACAGATGTCTCTCTTACAGTCCTCGTCTTCCTTCGTTGAAGAGCTCAAAATCCTCTCCTTTGAGGCCACGGCTGATCGTCATCTGGGATCTTCCTCCGGCCTCTCTTTCGCCAAGTTGACACAAACCGTCCTCCGGCGTCTGAACCCCGACAAGGCCGACTTTAGCTTCAATGATTTCAGAACTGGGGATGACATGTGGCCGCAGCTTAACCTTCCATCCTCGACTTCAGACCTTTTGGATTCAACGCTGTTCAGTGGATTCAGAGACCCTTTTATGTACTACCCTTCAATGCTTGATGGATTCTCCCCAACCGCGCCAGCCGAGCCCACCTCTCTCTCAAAGCAATCGGTTTCGTTCCAAGGCAGTCATGTTGACCAGCTTATACGTTTCTACTTTGCTCACTCGCATACCTTATACCCAATCGTTCACCGTGAGGAGTTCTATAAGATACTGGAGCATGTTCGAGCGGATCCTCAGTGTGCTTTAGCTCAATCATCTCTTTGTCAATTCCGCCTATGGATGGTCCTTGCAATTGGATCAACAGCTCAGTGCTCAGTCACCCTTTCAGATGAGTCCGAGTCAATGATGTACTACAACAAAGCACTTGAGCACTTTGAGGGTGCTCTCGATTATGGATACATGGTACGAGTCTCCGTGTGAGTGAGTTTATGAGGTAGGTGAAGGCTGACTCATGACTGAAGGCCGCGTTGGAAGTTGTACTTCTGCAGGTATCTTATTCTTTCTTCAACCAGCTTGGACCCAGTAAGTGATGCCATGAAATTGTGCTCGAGTCTCTCGCTCAATTTTGCGACAACAGATACATGGACTTTGGTTGGTCTCGGTGCGCGTATGGCAATTGGATTGGGCATGCATGCTTCCTCAACCTACGAAAGCTTACCGGCCGACGTGTCTGAAAAGCGGAAGAGACTCTTCTTTTCTGTATACATGATGGATCGGTGAGGCCTCAAGATCCACACTACTGCAATGTCTGGCATGCTGACCACATCCAACAGCGTAGTATCTATAGCTCTAGGCCGCCCATTTGCCATCAATGAAGATGACATTGATGTGACGGTAAGAAAGGCACTCTCTCGGGACTCATGTGGATCAATATTTTGCCCGTCGACTGACTCAAGTTTCAAGCCTTTCGCAGTGGGGGATGATGGTAGCGTTGGGGCACAAAGTGATCTGCGCGAGAACATATTCAAGCCTTCTATGATGGCCGTTCCCCTTCACATCCTCGAGCTACGTCAGATTGCCAGCAACATCACGACTTCAGTCTATTCGCACCGAAAGTCAGCTGGCCTAAGTGCCGAACAGCGCGAAGAGGTGTCAAACTCTCTTCACCAGAGACTTCTTAGTTGGCGTCGCAACATGCCATTCCCTCTTCCAAACACCGACGCTGCAGTGCCGCATCTCAATAGCAGCTGGTATGACTTCAACTACTATCTCCACCTTGCCATGTTGTACAGACCATCTCCGCTGTTCCCAACTCTGACGGAATCCCGCGTCAAATTGTTAGCGGAAGCTGCGTCCATGTCGATTCGTCAAGTATCTAACATGCACCGACAAGACTGCCTTGCTTACAATTGGCTCAACCTTCTCTCAATATTCACTGCAACTTTGTCCTTGATATACGCCACAACTGTCCAACCCGATAATCTTACCTCTGTTTTGAGAGACAAGAGAGCAGTGGCGGACCTTGACTTGACTATCGAGCTATTTGACAAGCTTAGCGTCAAGTTCCCTGTGGCTGGCAAGATACGTCGAATGGTTGAACAGATATCCACTAGGTACAAAGAAATGATGGAAGTCAACGAGGCTTGAGTTGATAAGCCAAAAGATGAGCTACTGACAGTCTATTACTATCTTATCCAGCCAATCCTATCTTTATCAATGATGTCCATATTACCAGTGGTGGCCATCGGTCGATGGGCGGCTTGTCCGACACGAATGATAAGCCTCCAATTGGAAGGGTCGGGTCGTCCGATGATTAATCGCCACACCACTATTCGACCTCCGACCGACATGGCCGTGATTGAGGGGAAGATTGATGCATGAGAGTTATCTACTGTGTATGGGAAGCACAACTATCCTGCCATATTTTCCTCAATTTGGAGCCATATAAATGCTGTTGGCAGTGTCCTGTTTACCCTTTGCCGCAGGTCTAGCAAATTTGCTGCCTTTTTCTATGTTCGACGAGGAGCTACACTAGAAACAGTCAGCTCGTAATGTCCACTTCACTCAATTCAACGACATTCTTTCAGCCTCTTGGGCAAAAAGGGGTTGATCAAGAGTTTTTCTCACTTGTGCCTATCCTCGCGACGACTTTAACGTTACTGGCCTCCTACGTCGCCTACAATGTGAGCTCCTCCAGGGTTTCCGACTAGTCGCCTAGCTCTACGATGCGAATGCTGACTTTACAGGTTGCCTTCGGCACTGACGTCCCTCACATTAAGGGACTTCCTCAAATGCCTGGCGCAGTTCCAATCTTTGGGCATCTTCTAAAGCTCGGCGAAGACCATGCGAGCACTTGCGAGAATTGGTGGCGGAAAGGGAATCCATCTACTTTCCAAATCAAGTTGGGAAACACGAGAGCAGTGGTTTTTAACTCATATGAAGACATCCGGCGTCTCCTCATCGGCCACCAGAATGCAGTTGTTGACCGGCCGAAACTGTACACCTTCCACGGCCTCATCAGCAGCACGCAGGGCTTCACCATCGGATCGTCGCCCTGGGACGACTCATGCCGCCGAAAACGCAAGGCCGCGGGCACGGCTCTCGGAAGACCCGCCCTTCGGAGTTACTATCCAATGTTCGATCTCGAGAGCTATTGCATCCTCCGAGACCTGCACAAGGACAGTCGGAACGGTGAGGTGGAGATCAGCGTACGACCGTATATCCAGCGTTATGCGTTGAACACCACGCTGACGCTCTGCTACGGCATCCGAATGGACGCCGTCTACGATGACTTGCTACGCGAGATTCTGCACGTGGGTTCGGCAATTTCGCTCCTGCGTAGTGCTTCCGAGAACACCCAAGACTACGTCCCCATCATGCGGTACTTTCCAAACAATGAGAAGAGCCGTCGTTCCAAAGATCTCAGGGAGCGCCGTGACGCGTACTTGAATCTGCTTCTTGATAAAGTCCGAGAGCAGATCAAGCGTGGTACTGATAAGCCCTGTATCTCAGCAGCAATCTTAAAGAATGAGGAAACCAAGCTCAGCGGAGTCGAAGTCTCGTCAATCTGCCTGTCACTTGTGTCCGGAGGATTCGAGACGATACCGGGGACTCTCACCTCGACCATCGGATCCCTTGCCACAAAGGAGGGGCAAGCCTGGCAGGACCGGGCTTACGAAGATATCAAGCGTTACTACCCAGACGTGCGCGAAGCGTGGGCTTCTTGTTATGTAGAAGAGAAAATTCCCTACATCAACGCTATCATCAGGGAAGCTGGAAGGTACTACACAGTCAGTTCCATGAGTCTTCCCCGAAAGACTGTGACCGAAGTAAACTGGAACGGGGCCATCATACCCCCCAAGACAATGATCTTGGTCAACGCACAAGCCGGAAATCATGGTGCGTTCATTCTCTGCCCAAGTGACTAAAGTTTTACAAGTCTTACTAACGCTGTGCAAGATGTCGGGCATTTTGGCGATGATGCCGGTCATTTCGATCCCGAGCGGTGGCTCGAAACTCTTGACCCCCCTACAGAAAAGGAAGTTTCAGGCGTCGGTCACCTCAGCTTTGGACTCGGATCCCGCGGCTGCTCCGGGCAGTACATTGCACAGCGTCTACTATACGCGGCTTTGGTGCGACTGCTATCTTCGTACAAGATTGTTGCGAGCGAAGAAGAACCTCCGAACACGGACTATGTCGAGTATAATCAGTTCAAGACGGCTTTGGTGGCGATCCCCAAGGACTTTAAGGTAAAGCTCATCCCCAGAGACATCTCTGTGACCAGTGATTGCTTGAGAACTGCGGAGGAGAGGACTAGAGAGTACTATGTCGAATAAAACAGTTGGAACTCGCCCAGCTACAAACAAGAGACTTAGCCTTCGCCTAACATCTTGAGTCCTCGCGGTAGCCCTCTGCTTTGTTTCTGTTTGGAAGGACGATGTCTTCTTGCAGTTTACAAGATCGGTTCATACCTATAAAATTTGATTGCACCGAGATCACGCTAAGTGAAATGGATGTACCAAATCACTTCAAGATGAACTCGGCTGGTTTGGATCTGCTCCAGGATGGTTTATCATCGCGCAGTCTGCCCGGTCTTAGGCGCTGGACATCTAGTCGCTAGTGCGCCTTCCAAAGCAAGTATATCGCCAAAGTTCAGCATTCGAAGTCATGACCTAGTATGTCATGTCTGAGAGGAAACCTGAAGCCTGGGAGGGCTCCTGTTCACATGTTATTTGGCTAATCTTTGCTACATTTCACTTCTCAACATGATCAGGGCTTCCGAAAGCTCCGTAAAGGAATCATCAGTTCGGCCCGCAATTTTGTATTAAAACCAAAGCATTTTTTGCTACTTTAAGTAAAGTCTAAATCAAGTGACAGGCTTTTGAACAGACTTGAAAAGGATCATAGAGATGCTCTGTGGAAATAAGCTTCTCGGACGTCAGACTTGGGCCACGACGCGCTCTATCCGAGTCTCGAGCACATCAAGGACTATATGCATAACACATGCTGATAGCAGTGGCCAGTAGCTGGGTCACACCGAGTCACAGAGCCGGGAGGATTCGGAACGACGTCCCTCGGTAGTCTGAGCAATCAGAGCCTGCCCGGGGAGTTCATTTTGGGGGGGCTCAGGGTAGTCTGAACATTACCTAAGGTAAGTTCTAACAGCAGCAACACGATCTCCGATCTCAGCCCTGCAGAGGGTGGGCCATCTTTGAATGGGCTACGGGTCATGGCACCGACGGCTCCTACGGCCTATCAGGAAGTCCGATTCGGAGTTTCCAGAAACCCGTCAAAAGGGGAGGGTCAAGAGTCCCAATCTTCATTCAACCTTTGACGGTTCAGAGGGGGTCTAACTTAGCGAAGCGGGAAACCACAACCGCCCGTTCGGAGTACAAGAAAGACAAGCATAAAGCTTGACGGAGCCCACGGAAAGTCAGTATAATTCGAAGCCTGGTATCAGGGTCAATTGTACATGAGGGTCTTTAGTTCAACCCAACAATTTGGCTTCTCAAACGAATGAACGAACCATTGAGAATGAAGGAGACATCCAGTTTGCGACTCTCGAAACAAACGTTAATCATGTTGAAGATACAAACATCAATAGCGTCAATCTCGTCCCAAAGACAAAGGTCTAGGACAAAAGGGAAAGCTTCTCAGCTTAATCGTGAGAGCTCGGGGCGGAACCAGATCCCCTCGGCGACTTGACAATGTCTACCTTTCAACTCCAAAAAGAAGGGATCACTCCGGGATCGCGAAAATAAATGAGCGGCGAATCAGCGTCGGCGACAATGTCAAATAATCATGGAAAGTAGAAGGCCTCGGGCCCGCTACGATTCCCGATTAGCTCAGAGTTCATCCCGTCTCTCTGGTGATAGTTGCTGCTACTACTTTGGGCAAATGCCCCCCCCCCCCCCACGGGTTTGAAAGGAGACTAAATCTCAGATCATCCCATCACTGCTTCCGACACCTCTTCAGGCCGTCATGGATCTCGGGCTCTCATCCCTCCTCTGACACATCTCATCCCTCTTGGGCCACCACCCGTTCGCCGTTCGGCGCGTCAAAGGTCCAGAACCTCCCTTCCCAGACTCTGACGAATCGCATCATTTCCAGGACGAAACGTACTCAGTTCCTCATTCGTCTATCGCCTAGAGAAGAAAGCAAAAGCAAACATGGGCCGTAGCGGTCGTCGGAACCGTGAATCCTGTGCGTAGGGCTTGGCATGTCTGGGAGCTTTGCCATTCGCCCCCTTCCCCCCCCCCTTTTGGAGCTCCAGCTCTCCCAGCTTCAAGCTTTAGCTCAGCTAAGCTAAACTTCAGCCAGCTCTTTGCCTCTCCCGCCTTGCAAAGGTCACAGTAATTCAAATTCCCATCCACTAGATGCCGTTCGCCGCTTAGTCATCTCGAGGGGACGTGAGTCTGTGACGCACAGCGGCAGGTCGCCGAAACTTGAACGGACGGGTATCTGTCACGATCTGATCTCAACGGGACCACGGGCTCCACTACCGTTCCGTTTGGATTCTTGCCACCGTTTCGAGAAGCGCTAGACGCCTGGATCGTTCTTTTGAGGGTATTCTCTCGGATTTGCTGGGGTTTGTGTTACGGTAAAAGACAGCATCACGATGGTGTCTGCGCAGCCACACATGAGCATCATCGTGAGCCTCAACCATCACATACGACCATACCCATTGGAAAACTCGGGATCCCGTCCGCTCTCCCATAGATAAGCCAATGAGGGCCGGATTAGTAGTTGGGTCGGTGACGACCAGCGAATACCTGGTGTTGTATGTTTTTTGGTTTACGTGAAGCTATCGTGATCCACCTAGGCGGATAGGTAGATGGTAATTGCGGGGGGTGGCAATATCTCGGCGACATACAGCCTGTGACCTAGCTGTTCACGCTAGGCGCTTAACATCTTGAGAGGCAGCTCGGATTCTCTTTTTGAGTGATTGTGGTATAAGTGTAAATTTCTATATTCATACATCGTAGAAGGTTTATCCAGTCCATGTCACATTCTAGACCCCCAGATTACCAGCTCCTTCAGTAGCATCGGCATCTTTTCGTTTGAAAAATGAGCCCATAACAAAGGGAATCCCTGATATCAATCCGAATGATCCATCAGCGCCGTCCATGATCTCACCAGTATCTTATCCTATCATCAAACATTCTTGCAATCCATCCTCATTACACGCAACGCCCTCCGCAACGACAACACCTGTGATCCTATGACAGCATTGTCGGCGACGAGCGTCCAGAACAGCTGGCGCTGGCGCTGTCCTCTCCGTCAACGTACCCCTTTTCGTTACCCGAATCCACATCGCTCTCCGTCGCCCATCGGCCAGGGCATCCGGGGATATCGCGCTCGTGTTCGCGGTACTGCTTCTCGCGTTCGCCATCCTCCTTCCTCTGTCGGAGATTCAACGTGACGGAAGGCGGCTTCACGGACATGGCAGCCCTCTTTTTCTCGCGGGTGTCGATATCAGGCATGCCCATCTTCATCATGAGCTCCTCATTCTCCTCCTCCTCCTTGGCGGCGTCGAACATGGCCTTCATCAGGTCGGCCTTTTCGGGCGTGCGCGCGACAACGTCAAAGTCGAAGAAGGCGGGCTTGGCGATCAAGAGAGGGGTGTAGTCGTTCCAGTGCACGGGGACCTCGGTGCCGTCGGCGTTGAACTTTTTGCGAATGTTGAAAGCCCAGGCCATGCCTCCCATGGACAGGAAGAGATCCTGGTCGACAATGGGGACACCCTGGCACGTCCTGCGTCCGAAACCGAATTGACTGAAGCCATCGAGGTTGGGGAATCTAGTGAGAGGCTCCTTGTAGGTAGGGTACTCAGGCTGCACCCAGCGTCCGGGGTTGAAGGTCTCAGCATCGGGGTAGACGGACTCGTCGCGAGTGATGCCCCTAGGCTGTGTTAGTAATGGAACGAACACATGGCCCTAGTGTCAAGCTACTTACCATTCAAGAGCATGAATCGTGGCACCAGCAGGGATAAAATAGCCGTTGTAAACATCGTCCTTTTCGACAGCGTGGGGGATGCCTGCACGTCACGTCAGTCGCTCTGAACTCAAAAACAAACTTCCACTACGATAGCGCACAACTTACCAGTAGGGACCGGGGGTCTCCACCGAATGACTTCCTTGACGACAGCTCTCAATAAAGGCAACTTCTCACGATCCGACCATTGAGGGCATCTGCCTTCGCAGTTCTCGTCAATCTCCCGTTGCAAGCGAGCCTGCCATTCGGGGTAGTGCAGCATGGCGAGGAGGAAACTCTGAATGGGGCTACCGATGGTCAAGGCGCCAGCAATGGCCATGAGACCAACGACGTTCTGAGCCTCCGCAAGATCGCCCCATTTGCCCTTCTCGTTTCCGAGACCCTCGTTGATGAAAGTGCTGATGAAGCTCGGCGCGGCGGTACCCTTCTCGACCTGATCCTTGACAAAGTTGACGTTGCTCGTGAACTGCTTCGATTCGATGTCGTGGCGCTCCGCCTCCTTCTTCTTCCACGGCGACAGCGCTGCGGGAACGTGCATGAGGAAGGATATGACGTTGGGAAGAGCACCAGCGGGGGAGATGGTCTCGAGAAGGCCAAAGGTGGTCTTGCGCAGGACTCTGGCCGGGTGCGCGGTACCCCAAGAAAGACGGCTGACGGTACGGCTGGTGAACTGCTCGATGTACTCGCGGTACTCGGCAGGTTTCTGGTAGAGAAGCCACAGGAAACGATCGCGCTCGCGGCTCGGGTATGCGTGGAGCTCCTGCTTGTCGCTCTGGTTCATTAGGTGGTGGCAAAGTTTGCGCTGGCGCTTCCATGTTTCTGATCCGAGTGTTAGTGAGTGCAGTGATGTAATAGGCAAGTAGAAGACATACCTGTCCGGCCAAGGAGAGCAAGGTAGTCGCCGCTGGTGCGGTTATCCGGAAGGTTGGGAATCATAGGCCGGTCAGAGTAGATGACGTTGCGGCGGCCGAGGAGGTCGTGAGCAACTTGCTCAGAGGAGATCCAGACGTGGTAAGAACCGAACATCTCTTGCCCGTAGATTGGGCCATATTGCTTGCCCCATTCATGGAACTTCATCCATGCCGCCTCTGCCGGAACATCGTGAACTCGACCGATAAAGGGCAGACCTATGTTGAAGTCAGTGTCTGTATGACATCGTTGACATGTCATGATAGCTTACCCTTTGGTCCAGGAAGAGGCTTTGCTCCCGCTGGGATCCTCTTCTTCAACTGGATGGCGGAGTAAAGGCGCCATGCGCAGAAGAGGATAAAGCCGAGGATTGCCACGCCTACGGCCATCGTGACAGGCCAAGTGATATTAGAGAATACAACTAAGTGTTGTCTACGGTAGTAGGAAGAAGGGGAAAGGGGGAACCGACGTCAAGGTCGATTAGAGGTGAAAAACAAAAGAGAGTGAAGAATAAGTCCTGCTGATGCAGGAAAGCAGAAACGACAAGAACCACGATGACGGGTCTCGAGGACGGTGTGTCTCTCGGCTGTTATTAAGAAGAGTGAGGACCACGTTCAGCCATCCGGTCATGGAACGCCCAAGCGGACCGACGGGGAACGGCCAACGGTCCCTTTGTCTGGAAACATGACTGAACCACGCGTGTATGGACACTCGCCGGATTCCCCAAGCGCCATGGCAAAAAGTTCAATACCACCCTATTACGACTATCATGGATCGGCGCACAGCGGGCGGCGGCAAACTTGTCAGTCCACTTCGCCGTCCATTCCGCCATCCATGGTCCAACAACGGACGCCCAGAGTCTTGGACCCCGGTGATGGTGTATAATCCTTCCCAACATAGCACAAGATACTTGTGCCGCGCTTGCATGTCGGCCGCCGCCGTTGTGATTGCTTGCTGGTGATGGTGGTGCTGCTGCTGCTGCTGCTGCTTGGTCGCTTGGCTCCCTTCCCTTCCCAGACAAGTGGTTCGTTGAGTTCTGACATCTGGGCACTGAGCTTCCTGAAAGGTACATCAGAGATCAGACACTCGGTTCGCCTCAAGAGACGAGGGAGGGGCAAAGGCAGATCCCCGAGAGCTCTCCAGCTGGAGCTCACGGAGTGCTAGCAAATACCGATGCCCGTCCTTGCATCTTGCGTGGGAGGGTATGCAGGCTCGTGGACTGCAGCAGGGTTGACCATGGCTGCTTAGGGCCCAAGGAGACGGTTAGAATATGAGGTGACTGTGGGATGCGCGTTGCATCCGCGAGAGCTCCAAACACAGGGGCCAGAAGATTGGCCGAGTCGACATCTCACCGCAGCAAGGAGTAAACACGCTACCGTGACTACCAAGCTGTTCCATGTCCAAGTCCGTAGTGCCCGCGGAGGGGAGCAGGATCATCCTCGTCCCACATTGCCCTCCATGCCTTCATCGACTGGGCGTCTGAACCAGTCGCCTAGGCACCGGCGTCAGGTAGAGCTGTTGCGGTGGGCTACCGGAGGTCGGGGCCCGTCCGGTCTCGGCACAGACACCGAGCCACTTCACCGGGCAGTACGCTAGCTTTGCAGCTAAAACCAAGGATAGCATACGAGCAGAAAAAATCGCACTGCTCGATTGCCTAAAATTGTCAGAAGGAGCTGCTGTCATAATTCTTTGGAACCGTTCTAGGGCTAGGCCAGGCACACCCGCTGGCCCGCTCCACGACGATTTCGCTTCCTTCGTTTGCGCGTTGTTCTGTTCTGAGCGGAAGCTTGGAAAGGATCAAGACGAGGTCCACGCATGCCGCCATGATGATGGGGCCGATCCGCATAGTACCCCACGCCGGATGCACCGTTACTATTGTGTTCCGGAGCCTGGGCAAACGTCAGTCTCGGTCTTGGACTTGTAGACAACTCACAACGCCCAACACAAGGTAGGGATAAATCAACATCATTGTTCTTGGGTTTCCTCCGGCACTTGATTAGAAGTCGTCGGCAGAGAGACTTCGCAGAGTCATCGACTCTCAATGTGTAGATTGTGGACGTCGATCAACTGCAAGCCACGGCGTCGCGGAAGCTATGCGGCCGGAAATTGGTAGCCAACAGCCATCCGCAGATCGAGTGAGAGCCAGCGACAGCCAGTAAGAACCAGTCAGAGCCAGTCAGAGCCGTCGAGAGCCATCGCAACTCTAGTGTTTCGAGCATATGCAAGATTCGGTGTTGGCAGGGATTAGTACGCCCTAGCGGGATCCGAGCGGGAAGATCACTTGGTTGGCGCCCAGGAATGGAACTCCCCCACGCCAGTCACCGAGCGTGAGACAAAAGCCACATGTTGGTTCCTAGACAAGTCGAACGCCTCTTGATTCCTTGAAGGGAGAGCGTCAGGGGGGGAGGCCACCTATTGTGAGTGTCGTGGCACTGTGGCTCACAGCTCGCGCTGCACAGTTCTGCTTTGACAGTCAGCATGGATCAGACTTTTCTCACCTGAGTGTAGGCGGGTCAATCTCCCGCTTCATACGAAACACACTCGTCGCGACCTATCGACATATGCCGTGCTTTGCTTGGCCTTCAGTCTGCTGTTGATTCTGTTATTGCTGCTGCTTCTGCTTCTATTTCTGCAGAGACCAGCCCTACTGGGTTGAATTGCCGCCGCCACCTGCACATCAAACTTCACTGCAGATCAAATGACTCCTTCGTCTCCAGTCTGGGGTAGTAAATGGTAAAATATTTTGTCTCTTCAATTACTCAGCACTAAAGGGTTGGTGCACGCGAATCCTGTGTGGCTCATGCTGTCTGTCCGACGACAACGACGACGGCCACAGACGGCCACGGGGATTTGTAGTACACCGAAACGGTCGATGGCTTCTTTGATCGAAAACGTCTCGATTTCGTGCGACGCCACACCGGTTCGCGCCGTCGGCCATTATGGAATGGCACCACAATGTGGCTGATGGCTAGTAGCCGTTGTGCCGGCCTATTACGCAGTCGCGAGCTCCTATGCCCGTGTTCGTCTTTAGTACGAACACTCTTGTGGCCGTAGGTCACTCTGCTCATGATCCTCCGCTATCTTTTGGTTGTTCAAGTCATCTTGATAAGACCACTTTGTCCTCCACTCTCGTCTCTCACAGTCATGATCCCGTCATGATGCCAGTTTACATTCTGTTGGGGTGGTCAGCATCCAGTTTCACATGCCAGACGGCATCGTGCGACAGCGTATGAAGAAGAACTCACCTCTCGACAGGGGACAGTCCCAAGAGACGCATGCCGTTGAAGAGCACGGTCCTGGCGGCCATGTACAGCGCCAAGCGGGCCTTCTGGAGCTCAGCTTCGCTTCCAACAATACGCAACACATCGTAACTGCTGCTGACGACGTGCGTGAGGCGGAACAGATACGTAAGCACAGTAGTGGGCTCCAAGGTCTTGAGAGTGTTCTGGACAACGTCGGGGTACTGGCTAATGACGCGGATCAGCTCAATAGCATGCTTCTCCGTCAGCAAGCCAAGATCGGCCTTTGCAATCTCCTCCTCAGCGACTCCAGCCTTGCGGAAGATGGAGCACAGGCGAGCGTGGGCGTACTGGAGGTACGGTCCGGTGTCACCCTCGAACGAGGTCATGGTGTCCATGTCGAACTTGTAGTTGTTGACCCTAGGCCAATGTGTCAGTGCATCCGAAAGCGCCTGGAAGGAATAGTCCGGACGACATACCTCTTTCCACTCATATCCTGGACCATCACACTGCTGATGCCAAGAATATCGGCCGTAGCCTCCGGTTCGGCGACCTGGGCGTACTTGGCCTCGTTCTTCTTCATCACCTCGTGCATCTTGTCTCCGACGTCGCGCAGAATGTCATCCAAGAACTTGACAGTACCCTTGCGGGTGCTCATTCCCAGAACCATACCAAAGTTGATGTGCTGGCACTTCCTGGCGGTCTCGCCGTGGCCCATGAGCTCGATAATCTTGAAGAGCTGCTTCAAGTGCAGATCTTGTTGAGAGGCAATGACGTAAATCATGTGGTCAAAGTTGTACTTCTTTTGGCGGTGGAGAAGCTCGCTGATATCACGGGTCAGGTACAGAGCTGTGCCGTCCTTCTTGCGAATGATGGGGCGCTCCAAACTCTTGCCCGGCTTTCCGGGAACGTGCTTGGCGAAGTCAATGATGACGGCGCCTTCTGACTTTTCGGAGATGTTCATCTCTTCGAGCTTCTTAGCAGCAGCCTCCATATCCTCCTCGGAGACTTGAGACTCGCCCGAGTACTCGTCAAAGTGGATGTTGAGACGGGCGTAGGTCTCCTTGTAACGCTTAATGCTGAGATCACGGAATCGCCTCCATTGAGCCACGGCCTTGTCGTCTCCATCAACCATGGCCTTGAAGTACTTGCGAGCCTGCTCGTCGAGGCTGTTGTCCTTGAGCGCGGTGACATCCTCGCCGGCCTGCTCCTTTGCGGTGATCTGATCCTTCTCGTCGGCCATATCCCTGTTGATCTTGACGTAGACCTCGTACAGATGGTTGATGGGATCGGCGGCAAGGGCCTCTTCGTTACCGAACCTCTCGAAGCCCAGGGCCAACAGACCGTACTGCTTTCCCCAGTCACCGAGGTAGTTGATACGGGTTACATCCCAGCCGGCGCCATCGTACAGGTTGGCGATGAAGCCACCAATGATGGTGCTTCGCAAGTGGCCAGCATGGAAAGGCTTCGCGATATTCGGGGAGGAGAACTCGACAATGATCTTCTTCTTGCCCTGGGAGGGGTCTTTGGGGCTCTTGAGGCCGTTGTTGGGGTTCTTGCCAAAGTCGACGCCACGGGACCGGACCTGGGGGATCAGGAGCTGGGAAAGGGGGCCGGGCTTGAACCAGAACTGGAGGAAAGTTCCATTCTGGAAAGAGACGGGCTTCTCGATCAAGGGAGACTCGGGGATCTGTGGTCAAGGCAAGGCGTGTTAGTCCAACGTTCGAATGAGGCCACGATAGAGCCAGCGCGCATTGATCCAGGGGTACGGGTTGGTCCAATGATCTCGATTCAAGACTGACCTTGTCGAGCCACTCAGCAGTCAGATCAGCAGGCTTCTTGCCCTTGATGCGAAGGGCAGGGACGGCCAGCACCAAGTCGCCCTTATCCAAGCTCTGGGTCCACTGTAGGGCGTTGTAGATGATGGTGCTCTCGACGCCGGTGACAGGCTGCAGCAGCGAGGTGATGTGGGAGCGGTAGACGTCAATGGGGTTGACTTCGGGGTAGCAGCCGGGGTAGGACTCGAGCTTGCTCACGGAGAGCTTCTCGAGCTGCGCCGTGATCTGGTCGGCCATTGTCGCTAGCGAGATGGTGGGGGTGGGGGGTGGTTTGGCGAGGGTCGACCGGTTCAGAGTCGTCGAGGAGTAGAGCCGCGTGGTGGCCGTTGGAGGTCGTCGTCGAGGAGGGTGGTGGACGAAGGCTGAGGCGGCAGAAGACGCTCCTCGTCGAAGACTTGTGGGATAAACGTGGGCTGAACGAAGTGAAGAAGAAGAAGAGAAGAAGAAGCGCGCGACGCTAGTCATTAAGAGACTCGTCGACGGGGACTGGGCTGCAGGGGGACGAGAAAGAAAAAAGGCAAGGAGGGGGAGGGGTCGCTGGGCTGAGGGCTGTGGCCGATGTTTGTCACCCGCAGAGAAAAAATTGCGGACCGACGGCCAGCCTGAGTCACTGAGCCATTCGTCCATGTGGTTGGTTGGGTTCCGGTGTGGGGCTTCACCGAGACTCACCGAGTGGAGGGGTAATTTGTCCCGGTGAGTCCCGTATGGAGGGGCAATCTCCCCGCGGATCTCGGTGAGCTCACCTTGACCAGCAATTCACGAAAAGCATATCATCACCCCTTGTTTCTCTCACAAGATAGGAGATACTATGGGGGTTTTCGATGGGTATATATACTTCATGCAACTCCATGTTCTTCTTATTTCAGACTCGATAAGATAGTCGGTGGATAACAATAGTTGTTTTAAGAGCCGAATCCCTCATAGACCTCACCGCGTAAGCCCTCTCTTGATAGGACTATTAATACATGATGCTGATGAAGCCGGTAGGTAATACATGTACCGATCAAGCCATCTGAAACAATCCTTCTAGACTTGTAATCTTCACCAATTACATCTAAGTCCTTGAACCTCGTTCACCTACCTAACTGGTTTCTTTTTTTTGTGAACATGATATTTACACATGTTGACAAGCTGTATGAGTACGCGTCAAATCCCAATGGCTTGCATGAGTAGATAATTACGTGGACATAATCTAAAACGAGTACTCCTCAACAAAAAGATGAATCCCCTGTGCCCCCGTCCCCTTATGGACCGCCCTCTCGTCCGATAATGAGGCCACGCAATTCCTCACGGAACTCGTCAACGACTGCCCACCACAAACAACGATCGACGTCTCGCCGCCCGCAGCCTCGACTGGTTCTCGAATTAGAGCCTCCAGATCAGGACGAGAATAGTACTCCTTCACCATGCTCATCACAGACCCGCTCCGGATCCTGGGTGTAAGCGGCACCTCGTCGCCCTTTTCCAAGTCCAGTCCTTTTTCCTGACAACATCCTCCGCCACCTCTGCCATCCACGGAGTCGTCAGAGGCGATCCTTCTGTGTTTGGCAGACGAACTTGAACTAGAGCTTCCTTCGCGGTCCGAGTAGAGAACCGTCGTCGCCTCGCCTTCTTTGGCTTTGCCGGACCGCGTAATGGCGATATGCACCTGCAGTTCGATGCCGTTCTGATGCGCCCGCTCCATCGACTCCCGTAGTCGATGCGTGTAGAACTCGATTTCCTCACCCTGGCATGCCATGAGGATGAACTCGATCCTCGTTATGCATGTCTTCCTTCGGCTCTGAACGATGCTCTCCAAGATAGGCAGTGTGAAAGACGTCCCCGTAGACGCTGAGATGAGAACCATGGTATCGTAGATATCCCATCTGGGTGGCGCCCCGAATGGCCCCAGCACGAAGCCCGTGAGAGTCTCCTTCTTCCCAGATGCCTGAACCTTCTCCGCATAGTTATGCAGTCTCTTGGAGAACCCGCCGTGTTTCCGGACGACGAGCTGGATACTGTTGCAGGTACACGTCTCCGGCAACTGGTGCGCGCACGCAATAGTATACGGATGCGCCTCAAAGGGCCCGATACGTGGCAGCCAGAGATATAAGTGCTGTCCCGCCTTCCAGGAGAAATGAACATCCTTGATCGTCAACACTGTCGTCGACGAACCCGCCGTCCGGACCTGCACCTCATGTCCCACCCGCTTCATCCCCTTACACGTCGATCTATTAGGTCGGAGCCTCGTATTTTGCCACGCGAGGAACGCCCAGCGCGCGAGGCGGTCGAAGCAGATGATGGCGACTGAGAACCAGAGGTACTGCTTCGCGTAGGCCGGAATGTGGACGTAGACCAGCCAGATAAAGAGGACCGCCGAGAGGATGTGCTGCAGGAGGAAGAGCTCGTACGCCATACTGCGGAGGGGCCTCATACCCGTGAGGAACGTCCAGATGAGGATCCCCCACGCCCCGAGGCCGTACTTGATAACGGGTAGGATCCTCAGCTGCGTCTCGACAAAGTCTGCCCGCACCCATTCCGACCAGAAATGAAACCCGTGGACGGTCGCCGTGACGAACATTGTCCTGGCGACCCACCTATGGAGCCAGCTTAGTCGTTCATGCGAGGCGCCGATGATGAAGCCCAACACGTTCACCTTCATCGCTAGGAGATAGAGGAGGGGCATCTGCATGACAGTCACCCAGGCGTTGCGGAAACCTATGCGTTCCCAGAAGTACGCGTCCTTGATGACGGCATCGTTGACCATCATGTAGACGATGACGGCCCAGTAGGCCAGGAGGACGAGCACGCGGCCGAGTGACGGCGGCGTCGCCCAGCGCAGGCCCTTGATCGGGATGTAGAGTTGAGGGTGGCCTGCTTCGCGGACGAGCGCTGTTGATGTCGCCCATATTTGTGTTATCATATTTGAGGGTTTCGTCGGGAATCGAACGGACTCGGTGCGGCTACGCTTGAGTCTGCATGAGGTAATCAGCATTAGAGGGCACATAGCAGATGCAGTGGGAATGGTGTTCACCTTCTTAGGCCCTCGAGGTAGTTGAGACCGCGGATGATACCCAGGAACCCGACGACTCCTGCGATGATGTACCAGAACGACTGTGCGAGCTGAACATTTGTCTCCTGGAATAGCGCTGTTCCCATGGTCATGCCGCCTCCCATACTACTACCTCCTCCATGATTATGGCTCATCGCGACGGTTGATTGGTGATGACGCTCTTGTGATTTTGAGGGCCGTACCTAGACTGTAGGATCTTTCGTTGGATATCGCTGGATATGTTTATTCGCAACTTTTGCGGTGTCCAGCCCCGCCGATTACTCCTTATTGAATCCGATGCAGCCCGCTTATTTCAGGTTTGTAAGATGTGAAAACCTGTCGTGAGATTTCGAGGCGAAAGATAAGCGGCGTGCCGAAATCATGAGGTAGCGCAAATTCGTGAAACCATCTCACAAAGCAAACACTCCCATTCGCATGCGCATGAACTCCCAGAGACCACGACTTCGTCCAATAATTGAAATTAGAGAAAGGAGATATGCACCTTGAACAGTTCAAACGCCCCGACTATACGACGTTTGAAGACTGTGAAATCGGCCGAAGGAATGAGGTGTATTGAGCAAGTTCAAGAGGCAAAGACTCTGGGCAGCGTAAGCAAGATAAATGACTGGCCAAAGGACGAGCATAAGAGATACGGTACATGTAATGAGTAGCCGGCTCGGCGGCACGAAATGCGCTGGTTTAGAGAAGAGACGTTAGCGCACCACGGTCCAGCATGCATCCGAACGAGTTTGGCATGGTCACGGCATGACAACCTGGGCCATGGGTAGACTGAACGCTTCAAGCAGAGGTGGCTGACGGATGATCCGCCGTCAACTCACGGTACAGAATGCCTCGACCCGTTTCTCGACGACGGGAGTCTCGGCTACACTTTCACTTTACACCCTCTTCATCGAGAGTTTTCTCTATCCTACCGGCTTGGGGGAGAATACTCGCTGCTTGAGTTTCTTGCCGGCATGTTTACTAAGTCATTATCCATCAGATAAAGAGAGGTGTGGGCTCTTAGGTTTGTTTGATTCTGCGCGGGTCATGATTCGTTCTTACACACAGACTTCATACTTCAAACTATCAACTTGGTTATCGCTAATGCTCGTCATCCTCTGATCTGTGTCCTTCTAAAGTCCAGATTAATAAACAAGCTTGTTTGCATCCTCAGCAAATTCGCGAGAGTAGATACTCATGACCAACTAGGCATCAATCACCATACCCGCCAAACCTATTCCTTCGTACGGAGTACAGCTTAGAAACATGCTCACGACAGAAGATCAATCCCAAAACCCCCCGTGAACCTCCCCTCTCCCCAGATATCCCCCCGGCCCCTTGTCGATGAGTGAGAGAGAATCTGAGTTAACGAACTCTCAAACAGGGGTAGTCCCCCCAATCACATCTGCGCAAACGCCACAATTTGCTCAAAACTTCTCAGTGACATTTCCAAACGGCCTCATGATTGGTTACAACCCCAGTCACGCAGCCAGCAAGCCCCTGCGCACATCGCGGGGCTAGTCTATCTAAGGTTAACTACATCCCTTCCTCTCATGGTCTAACCGTCTAAGCATCAAGCCACCCGTCCCCACGCGCCGCCGTCGCCGCCTTTTGATATCACCCGCTAGCATCGCGACGACATTTCATTGTAACCGTAAAGCCCAGAGAAATGAGGGAGATGTGAGGAGACTGCGAAAGCACTCAAAGACATTACAAGAGCCTCATCATCCATCTCCACTGAATATGAAAGCCAAGACTCATCCCGAGAGTCCCAGCAAGGAGAATCCACCTAGGGGAGAACCCTTGGTTCTTTCATGCATACAGAGAGGGGGAAATATGCAACCATCCAACGTGGTAAAAATGAAAGCTTGGAGCTAATTAGTTCGGCAACAGCAGCCAAAGTGAGCAAGTTTTATCTCTGCTTCCTAGCTCTTCCTCCCGCCACCGGGGCTCAATGCCCCCAGTAAGTCACCTACCTTCCTCTCCAGTGCTTCTGACCGGAGGGCGTAACTCAATTCCACCTCGCCATGTGCCGACTGCCGGATCTAGGCATCCTAGTGTATTGAATCCGAGGTTTTCGTTCACCCATTCAGCATCTCCCAAACCCTCTTCTCCTACCTGTGTACTCCGTAGCTTGACTCAAAGGCACTGAACGGAAGCTCGCTCGTTCTCGTGTAACGGTGAGAGAGAGATTCGGCAAGAATTTCCGTCTCTCTCCACTCCGTGAATGCCATGTATCTCTACCTAAATGCTTAGTTTTACCCAGCCCGCTCGTGAGATATCCGCACTACCCTTGCCAAACAAAACCGCGAGCTCCTCAGGAGCTTTGCTGTTACCCAATCTAAGCTCCTTCGAGACAAACGGCGCAACCAGGCTAGCCCTACAGGAGAGTGAGAGTAAGGAAACCCCGTTGCTCGGGTCATTCTCCTCCCGCCCATTGACCAATACCCATCCCACGCGACGCCGGCCTCGTTCATAAACAGCCCGTGTTCCCCTCCGTCTGCTCTAGATCTGACATTTCACCACCTTATCAAACCCAATTCCTAATACCTGTTCTCTCTCTCCGCGCTGTGCGCCTCGATACCCAACGTCTTCACACATCAAAACTGTCTAGTCCAGATCTACACCAAACTCCAACATCACCAACCTCACTCACCCCAGCCTCATCCTCACCCGCAAAAAACAACCAACCGCCAAAATGACCCGCCTCCTAACCCCCCTCCTCCTCCTCGCCTCGACAGCAACAGCCCACTTCTCCATGACCCTCCCCAAACCCCTCGGCGACTCAGACGACAACGAGGCCACCGCCCCCTGCGGCGGCTACACCGCGTCCTCCTCCTCCGCCGCGACGGACTTCTACGTCGAGGGCGACGCCATCGGCATGGAAAACGGCCACCCGCAGACAAACTGGCTCTTCCGCGCCACCCTCGACCAGACCGCCGCCTCCGGCTGGACGCAGCTGTTCCCCATTGTCATGCAGACCGGCCTCGGCAACTTTTGCGAGCCCAAGGTTGCCGCGCCGGGGAATTGGACGGGCAAGAGGGGTGTTGTTAGTGTTGTTGCGCATTCGCCTGATGGGCTTTTGTATACTGTGAGTTTTTCTCCTTCTACTCGCCTTCACTTATGCCCTCATCAACCACCAGAGGTCTCTCATGAGATCCTTAATTCTGGAAATATGTTCACAAGAAGCGAAATCACACTAACACACACCCGCAGTGCGCCGCAGTAAACTTCGTCTCCGGCACAGCCCCAACCCGCTCGGATTGCAAAAACGCAACAGTCACCGTCGACTTCACCTCAGACTCAACCCTCACAGCCCTTCTGAGCGCCAGCGGCTCCTCAAGCTCCGGCACTCCCTCCTCCGGCTCCTCCGGAACCTCGACCCCGTCCGCCTCGGCCTCGAGCACCGCAAACGCCGCGCCCGCCGCCTTGGTCGGTAGCGTCTTCTCCACCGGCGCCGTGGCTGGTCTCTTGGTGTCTTTTACTGCTGCTGTCGGCGGGGCTGCCATGTTCTTCTAGAGTGATGATGTTCGGCTGTGTAGGGGGAGGGATGAAGTGTATAGTAGCTGCGATTCTTTTGATATGACCATGGTCATCTAGGAGACGTCCCGGCGGCCTGGAAGCTGGCTGCAGCCAACAAGAAACAAGGATTTTGTATTCGGAACGTGCAAAATCAAGTGCAAGTAAACCGCTGCTGAACGCTCGTAAAGCTTCATGACCAAAACGATGACTTGGTAGTGTAGATGACACGTTCAGATCACACCGTGACGATGCGCTGTCAAATTGAGAGTCACACCAAGTTTGCTAATGGTTCACTGCCTACGCGACTGTCCAGTCAGCATGAGCCCTCATGAGTGGGCAAGAATAAAGACCGTTTTATGTAAGAGGCGTATGGCCTATCTGTTGTATAAACTACACGAAGCGAACCCGCTCGCCAAGAAACCTCCCTCCGTCTATGGGTAATCATAACAAAGTAACCAGGAGAATCCTTTAATCAGGGACTCTAGGCTCGTCCCCGAATCCGCCACGGCCCACGTGCGCCTGCAGCACCCGCGGCACCTACGCCAAAGTTGTGAAGCCTCTCCCCGATAAGGTAGGCCTCATCTCTTATACGCGCCTTCCAGTTGTTGAAGACGCCGACTATGCTCCAGAATGCCATGGCTGCCAGTGCGCTGAACGCAGCCGCGGGATAAGAGAGACGATAAATCATCTTGAGTTCGTGGGGTGCAGGTAGAGGTACACCGAGGATGCCTCGAGACTCCATCCAGCCCACGGCATACGGGGGTCCGAAGATCGCCAGACAACCGATGAGCAGACCGGGAACAACAAAAGCCCTCGTCAGTACGAGAACATCAGGCTGGAGCCATCCACGACGGAGAACCGCGCGAACGGCTTGCGCCATGCGAGTGCCCTCGTACAGACTGGTGATGGCTCGAGCTCCGAGCTTGACGTAGAGCAATCCCAGAGTCCAGGATTGTATAACTCTCGCCGTATGCTGATTCGACACCACAATGCCGTCTTTGAACTGACCACCATTGTTGGTCCCGACGACGTAAGGTGTCGGAGGGTACATGTAAGTGTGAAGAGGAATGAGGCAGTACAATTCCATGAGTGCCGTGAGGATGAGAGGGAAAACGACCAGAAGGATTGTGTATGCGTAAGCAAGCCTGGCAGTATGGATGCCCATGAGCGCAACTCGCATGGGAGCATCGCTCTGCCACACAGACTGTATATTTGAAGATGCCCACGTCTTCATCTTGTTGAAGATGGAACGGGCATGGAAGAGGAAATATGCCGTGGAGCCCAGTATGTAGATGCCGATGCTGAAAGCATAAATGTCGTTGGTACGAATGTGGGCTGGGATAAGGACCTTGAACATCTTGCGGCCGAATACGAGGGGTATGATTGTGAAGCTGACGCCCGTGACTGCGGCAAAGATCCAGATGAACATGATGAACAAAAAGACCCTAGCACGGAAGTGAGGTGGAATATATACCAGCTGGTATTGGTCCGTAGAGTAGAGGTCGGCATCGGGCGTGTCATCTTTGCCATCTAGTCGTGAGTTGCTTTCAGAAACTGGCATGAACACACGTCGTCCCTTAGGAATCTTGACCTGGTCCGACGCAGGAGTCCGAACGAACTGGCCCTCTTCAATCAGCTGTCCAGTTTTGACTAGGCTTGCTTTCTTGATGGTGAGGATAACCATCTGATCGGATGCGATGGTAGATGTCGGCTTCGCCGTGCCACCTTCAAATGTATCTTCCCACGTTTTGGGCACCACCTTGTTCTCTTTATTGACCTCGAGGAGGGCACGCCTCCACCAAGGCAGGGCAAGCTGATCCGAGCCAGGGCGCAGCGCCAGGATACCTTCTTCGTCAATGCGTCGTTCACCAAACAGAAACCACGTCAATCGGAGACCTCTGGCGCACTTGCGGAACCACCAGGTGTACATGGCATGCAAGCCATCGCTAGGCTTGAAGAACTTGACTGCCAGAGGCATAGCAAAGTTGTAAAATAACAGGTCGACGGGGAACTCTAGGACAGGCTCATTGGAGGAGTAGTGAATCGGTAGGACGCTCGGGAGAGACAGAGCCAGACCCCACACCACACCTCCGAGACAAACGATGACCAGTGCGCCGTACACAAACGCAGAGAATAGAATCTTTCGCAATTGTGTTACAACGTTGCGTTCCAGTACATCGCGAACGGGGTGGAACTCGGGATCGTCTGGGTCGCGGATGAAATCTGGAAAGTGTTAGTTCGAATGGCTAGTAACAAAGACAGCATAAACTTACAGAGGACGCCTTTCCGCATGATCTTTCGGCACATCGAAACGAACAGGGCAAAGTGGAACATGTACCCCGTTCCCACGAACCAATGTACGAAGATGGAGGTGAGAGGAAAATTAACGGTGAAGGCGACTCGCGATTTCAATGTAGTTGCTTCGAAGAGGGGCAATAGAGCCACGTCCAAGAGCAGGCCGCAGTACAGCGGGAAAATGAGCATCTCAATGCTGATGATAAGAATGACCTTCATGACGCCACTAGCTTGGTTGAGCAAGTCAATCAATGAAGCTTCCCATTCCTGGCCCGTCTGCCCAGTTGAGAATGGCGAACCACGCTTCAGGTAGAGCGCGCTGATTGCTGAAAAGGTGAAGTAGCCGCAGAGAATGGCCCAGAATCGATCCGTGCCAGACCAGAACGACAGTGCAGGGTTGACGGCTGTCGAGGGCTCCGGCACACTGAAGCTGATCACCCAAGATCCGGGGTTGAGGATGCTAATGGGGACATCGCGGACGGCATTCCACGCGTAGATGGTTGCATTCGCAGAGAGTGACGCTGCGTACTTGGTATTGGATATGAGGTCGCGGTCGAAAATGGCGCCAAGTATGTCTCCTACGGCAGTAATAGTGCCGGAGAGAAGGGACTTGAAGCTGAGCAATGCTTCATGGCTGATGGCGGAAAAGTTTTGCATCTCGGTAGTTGAGATGATGGGTAGCTCGCTGGTTAGACTCTCCAAGACTCTGGTTGAAGCACTCGTGAAGATGTCAAATGTCTTCTTCATGAGCAAGCCAACGCCATTCTTGGCCGGGAAGCCCATCATACGTCCTGTTGTGTAGATGAAGCACAAGGTCAGACTGGTCAGACCGCTCATGATGCCAACAGCAACGTCTTGGATGAACTTTGTCGCGCTAAAGAGCATTCTCACAAGGCGCATCGGGTTCATGGCAGCCCAGACACTAACACGTCCCAGGTTGTAAGGAATGAAAACGCAGACGAAGATGGTGACAGAGACAAGCACCACGCAGAAAATGGCGTTTTGGAAGAGGCCAGCAATGGGTCCACGCATGCCGATCAATTCCATGATGCCCTCGAAGTCTTCAGCGTCGTCAATCGCTTCGGGGTCAAGCCCGGCGGCGACGGCAGCTTCTACGACCTCGCGGTCTTGCTCCACGGCGTCTTGCTCGTCATCATCCAGATCATCGTCAAAGTCATCGTCGTCGCTGTCGTGGTCATGGTCATGTTCATGAGCGGCATCGTCATCTCGGCCACCAATATCCAGCTCTCGAACCTCGATATCGCCCCACATGAAATCGGCCACACGGTCCATGACTCCGCGCTGAAGAGGCGGCCGCTGGGCTGGCCGACCATCTTCAGTATCTTGAGGCAAGCCGTTGATGTCCTCAAGGGGCTCTTCGGGCATGCCAACGAATTGCGCCGGGACGACGGCATCGGGAAGTTGCATCTCTGGCTCATTGAATCCGAAAAGCCCGTCCTCGTGGATGGGTTCAACTGTCTCAAAATCGTGATCCGCATCGGAGCCGAAATCTGGGGTATTGCTACGCGGTGGTGTGAATCGGGCTGGGGGAAGACCGAATTCTTGTCCCTGCGGATCAAAGCCAAATGATTGCATCGGCTCCTGAGCCTGGGGTTCAGCCTGCTGCGGTGCAGTGTTCAAGCCAGAAAATGACCAACTGTTGTTCGCAAGTGGGTTGATGTTGTTGTTCATCTGAGGGCCGTCAGAAACGGAACGAGGCCGAAGAGGACTCTGGAATGGAGTCGATCTTGAAGTGCTTGCGCCCTCCTCTCCCAGATCAGTTTCAAACCCAAAATCTCTCGGCGCTTCCTTCTCCTTGCCCTTTCCTGTTCCGTTGGTACTACTCTCGCCAAGTGGTTGCGGCGGCCATGAGAACTGTGGTGTGGAGGGAGCGGGTAGTTGGACCGAAAATGGGGACGTGGCTTGCGAATCTCTAGAGGCGGAAGATTCTTCAGGTCCAGGTTGGCTCTTTCTCGGCTGAGAAGCACCCGATTCTCGGTTCTTTTCCATCATCGATTTGGTGATCCTTGCCCAATAGCCAAGTGGCTCATCCAACTTCTCCTCCTCGATAATTTTAAGAATTTTCTCGGGATCGCCATTGGCCTGTCGGTAGATACGCAGGTATTCGTGAACAGTTGCCACCGGGGTCTGCGAGTCCTTGTTGGGACCGCCTTCGGGTGGTGTATTGAAGTCGAATTCGGGGTCAGGACCTCCTTGGGCGCGGGACCCGAAACCACCGTGTCTCCTTGCCGCCGGCAGGTTTGCCGGCAGGAGAGGTGCTGCGAGCTCGGGCATCGGTTCCCGTTCATCCCAAGCCATGTGAGGTAAACCATCCTGACTTGCGCGTCGACCGCCAGTGAATGATTCATCGTCATCGTCCTCGCTGTCACTTGGCCCTCTCAAATCTGCCGCGCCATAGTCATCGAGCATGCCAGCACCGTCGTGCGCGTGCGCATGCTCGTGATCATGGTCATGGAAATGTTGTTCGTGTTGGTGTTGCGGTTCAGGCTGCGGTTGGTGTTGTGCGTTATCGTTGGCGGCAAAGGCGGCTCGCATGTTGATTTCGGGTTGTTGCTGAACGACATAGTCGCGGACTAGGATGACGAGAATGAACGAGATAATGACCAATATCGTAATGATCTGGCCTTCTAGCACGCCGATGATGGTGCGGTTTACAACCGGGTACCGGGTCATGTTGCGCAACCAGGACACGCCGCTCAACAAAGAAGGATGGCGGTCGAGAACCGGGTCACTTGTGCCGACTGACACTGAGCTAGAGTTAGCAGACGCGGAGGAAGTGATGGATCCGAGCAGCATCCTCATGAGCGCTGCTGTCATTGAGTCGTTGGTGGTAATATTGACGCCGTGAAATGATCTGCTAAAGGGCAATTCCTGGCCTTGAATGATATCCTTTAGCATTCCTCCCAAGTTGGCTGGTGTCGTGGTGGGTTCGAGCAGAGGCGAAGCTGGGCAGACGTTGGAATTGGCGACAGAGAATGCCACTGAGACGCCCCGGCTAACTGTTGCATTTGAGCTGTTCCATAAAGCGCCGCTACCCAGACCTTCGTCGCTGACCCAGAACAAGAAGGCCCAGACTGAGCGCATGAGGTAAGGCAACCAGCAAAGCCAAACGCTGATGACCAGTGCGGCTCTGAGCCATACCAGAACGTTTCTGAAGAGGTATTTGGCCATGTGGCCGACAAAGACGTGGGCCGGGAGAGTCTTTGGCATTTTGGGCGAGTAGAGCTTGGTAAAGCGGAAGGGTGTTTTGCACAGCTCGCAGTGCTTCTTCTGGGAGTGTGAGAGCCACTCCATCAAGCAATCTTGGTGAACGTATTTGATACTGCCGCTGCATTTGCATGGGTAAAAGAGCGGTTCTTCGGCGGTCGCCTCGCCTCTACAAATGCGGCATGTGTCGGGGTCGAGCGCGCCGGCATCGTTCGCTTGGGATCGTGCTTTGGCAGCATCGTGAGAGACAGAAGCGGGTTTCGAAGCCGAGAACCGTCGGCGGGAGTGGGCGTAAGCATCAGCGGCTGCCAGCGGTTCCATCGCGGGGTCGTCCATATTGATTCAGTCGTCGAGATTGGCGGGGACTTGAGCCCTTTGCAAAAGTGTTTCGTTGTTTAAGAACGCATGAGTGCCTTTCTAAGCAAGGCTGGCACGGTGAGGACGGATCGACGGTGGAATCGGGGAGGAATGGTCGACAATGTTGGCGGCGGGATCGAGAGGTCCGACGTAAGGTCTTGGTCGAAGCACGATGTATGTGCCTAGTTAATTATCCGAGTGAACAGATTGCGGGGGAGCGCGGGCTGCTTTGCAATGCTCAAAGTGACAGCAAACAGCTGCAGCTCCTGTTCTAGAAGTCGGGAGACACTGAAGAGAAATGGAGAAGCTGGGTGGGTATCATAAATCGTCAAGTCAAACAAGCCGCTCCAGGATGTTGTGTGGTTGTAAACGCAGTTTCGAGATGGAGAAATCAATCGGAGTCCCCTTGCGCTAAGACGGGATGGTTGAGGTAGGTACCGAACATTGAAAGTGCGAGGCCCTGCTCTTTCCAGGTCCAGTTGTTCTGACCGGGCACCTCAGGCTGGCTCTTGCTCTTGCGCGGGTTGAATCCGCAGCGTCCATTGAGTGGTCCGAGCAGGGGTCCGGCCGCCGTGGACCCGAGTTCAGGGTCCGGAGCTTTGTTTCACCCGTTCCGACGAAAGATGGGTCACTATAGGTGAGGTAACTTGGCTGAGCTAATCCTCCTGGGGACTATCGGCACGTGATAGCATATGGTTCTAGAAGGAAGAAGGTTTGGCCAACCAGCGCAGCAGCAATTGTGCAGCTGCGATATTATGTCATTGTGTCTTTCAACATGTTGCTGCACCTCAACATTTTCATGATTTTTCCCATAGATACTCTCTAAAGTTTTTTTTTGTGATTGTAATTCTTCCAAACCACTTTCACTGAGATGCATTGCAAATCCATATTCAAATTAGTCTCGATGAAAAGCTACTGTTGTTCCATGCCGCCTGCTAGCCAGGCTCTTGGGACTCAACACGAGGTATACATACTAGACCGGTTTCTGTCAACAGCATATGGAAGAGGCCATACATGGCTTCTGCAAACCACCCGAATCGTCGATGACAGGTTCTCAGCCAAGGGCACCCAACATCATCAGCAGCATCATCATCATCACATGGATTGCACCAGATGCCGGCCACTCGGTCGCGCTCCCCGAGCTCCAACATTCCAAGCTGGTGAGCCACACTTGCGTGCCTGGTAATGCAGTGCTGCGTCACTCCAACGTTGTTTGGTCCACTTGATTGGACCCCTCACTCGTGCTGGCTGGAATCGCTGGATTGTTTCGGGGGATTGTGGCTCATGGCACCCCATCTCTACCAATCATCCACGCTCGTCCGTGCCTCCGACAGCAGGGTTGGTCAATCTGGTGTCTTGCTTGTTGTTGATGTGCTTGGTGCGGAGAGATTATGAGGAGCCAGACATGGGATGGATGGTGTGGATGGCGACAGGCATGGTGGCATGGCATGGAAGCGAGGATTCAACGGGAGACAGCAAGAAGCCGAGGACCAGGGCGTGGAAAAATGAGTGGTAAGCTGAGCATGATACTCACCTCAACCTTGCTTTCCCGCCTGCCTGCTTGTTTCTTGTTAGCTCGCATTTGTGTGGTGTTCGTGTGGTTGGTTGGTGGCATGGGACGATAGCGACAGCTTTGAAGCCGATGACGTTGGTGAGACATTCCACAGCGCGTGCTGGTCTGCAAGCTCCCCAGAATTAGAGGCTTGGAGCAGGCTTGCAGCAGGCTAATGGCGCCGCTACAGCGACCTAGCGTACTAGCACAGCTGGACGTCTCGGTTACCTCACCGGTTTATTATGTCAGCACTCAGGGAAGAAGTACTCTTTTGGGTGTAATTCCACCAAATATCAATAAAAAGATACATCGTAGCCTGGCCCGTGCTCTTCCCCCTCGGGTCAAAAAAAACTTGGCCCGCAGAAGCAGGAAGCTGCCAGCCTGGGACGGCCTCTTCTCCTGCCTCCTGCCTCCTTCCTGCCTCACCTTACGCAGGGAAGCGAACGGTAACGAACGCGAAGGGAAGCAGCAGCACAACAACAAGAAACACCACACCTTTTTTTTTGCATCACGGCTTGCTACCTTATCCTACTTCTCCCTCTTCCCCTCGTCTTCTTGCACTAGCTTGTCCATCATTCTCTCCCATACACCTCTGGGTATTCACTGCCATCTCGTGTCTAAATCATCCTTCACCGAATAGAGGAAAACAGCACTGCACCAACGTATCCCATCTCCCCCGAAAAAAAGACCCCTTCGGCTTCGGACGCCCTGAAGCAAAACTATCGCCATTCTGAAGGTAGATCATCAACTCCTAGCTCCACTATCCAACCCCCAAAGTGGCTCCCCCTCTTCGGTCCTCCCCTGCAGCTTCATCGTTCCGAAGGCGAGTGTTTGCTGCGTAGTAGCTACGCAACCCACATACGTTCGTTCACGCAGCTCTCCACTAGGCTCTGGGTTGCCCAGCCCGGTCCAGGCCGCCTGAAGCAGCCCATGTCCGTCGCCGACTGGGAACTGCGACATCTGAAAATCATCAGAGCTTCTACGCAACCCTCCCGCTGATTTCTTTTTTTTTCCCACCATTCCCACCTTTGATCTCATTTCCACCTTTCTTCCTCAATATCCTCTGCGATACCTCCTTTCATATCGCCTAGCTGACCACTGTCTGTTACCCAGTAGTTCGGCGCAGTCTCGAGTCCTCCACTGCATCATCCTCGACGCACGCACGCACGCACGCACGCACGCACCAGTTTTCCCGACTAACGGTACCCAACCCTGCGATAAGGAAAACACCAAATCACGTCACTTACGCGAGCTGCCTGGTATATCCAGACCACACAACCTCCGCCATGGAGGCTTCCAGTGGCTATGCCAGTAACGGCTATCCGAAAGCTCCGAACGGAAAGATCAACGGCAAGATGAACGGCCAGGCTGTGACAGTCAAGAGGAGGACAACGCCTACAAGAGGGCCCTCGTTTCTCCGCCGTTCGTTCAACATCTTGGCGAGGTATGTTCCCGATTCTTGGCCGTCACCAGCATCACGGCCCTGTGCATATTGTGAAGCGTATTCGGACTAACACTCAATCCCTAGGATCCTGACGTGGTACTCCCTTATCTCGATCCTCTTCCGCTGTCCCGCAAACCTCGAAGCTTGCGACGAGTCTTCCCCAAAGATTTGCAAGCCATACTTCCAGCTGAAGCAGGCCGTATTACCTCATGTCGAGCCCTACTATGATACCTATGCCGCTCCCTACGTTGAGAAGGCTGCCCCTTACTACGATATTGCCAACGAGAGGGTCTTCGTCCCTACGAAGGCTTATGCGACCAAGTACGGCGCCCCTCGTCTCCAGCAAGCCCAGTCTTACGGCCAGGCACAATGGGAGAAGAACATCCAGCCGCAGTTGTCCGTCTACCAGAAGTTAGCTCAAGACAAGTATGACCAGACCGTTGCACCTCACGTTGCCAAGGCCTCCACCACTGTTGGCCCGTACTACGACATTGCGCGTACAAGTGCTCTCCAGACCTACCACGATGTTCTTTTCCCCTCGTACCAATTCGTGCAGCCTTACGCCGCCCAGGGCTACGCCGTCGCCTCTCAATTCACCACCGAGACCGCTGTTCCCTCTGCCTACTGGGCATGGAACAAGACCTACAGCTTCCTAGATGCCACAGTTTGGCCCCAGTTCCGGGTTTTGTACATTGAGAATGTCGAGCCTCAGCTAGCTAGGATTGGACAGCGTCTCGGCCGCTACAAGAACAAGACAAAGGGGTCGCTCGAAAACGTCTCTGAGAGGTAAGAAGAAAAATGACGCATGCTTCTACCACTGCTTCAAGTTCACCCACTTACCAGTTGTGTATACAGTGGTTCTGCCAAGGCTTCTTCCTTCACAAAACCCGCGGCTTCCACCGCCTCCTCCCTTTCCTCGTCCGCCTCCTCCGTAGTTTCATCAGCTACTCAGAAGGCATCCACGGCCATTGAAAGCGCTCATATTCCCGACGCATCCGAGGTGGCTCAACACGACCACTCTGAGCAGGTTCACGCGCCCCCGGCTGGCGAGAACGAGTCCGACATCCGCAAGATCGCCAGGGAGACTGTCATCGAAGACCTGAGTAGCTGGCAGGCCAAGTTCGCCAAGGCAGCTGACGAGGGTGCTTCTGAAATCGAAGATCGCGTCGAAGAGATCTCCCAGCGCGTCATTAAGGAGAGAGCTCATGGCCAGGGCAGAACCCTCGTGACCGAGCTTCAGGATGCTGCCAAGTCTGAGGTTGATGCTCTGCAAAAGCAAATCATTAAGCTCGTCCAGAAGTCTGTTGATGCCCCGGAATCCGCCCAAGATGAGCTGCTTGCCAGTGTTCGCAAGGCTGGTCTCAACGTCAAGGAGAAAGCTCAAAAGATCCGTGCCTGGAAGGCCGAGTACGAGGCCGAAATCGAGAGCTCCGTCTCCGAGGCCGCTGATACCCACTTCAAGATCCTCGAGAGTATCCGCGACCTTGCCCTTCAGCGCATTGGAATGAAGTGGGCTTGGATGGACGGCATCACCTACAAGGATTGGGCCAAGTATCACGAGTTGAAGGACCGCTTCGCCGAGTGGATGAGCGATCTGAAGAAGCTCATCATCACCCACCCCGGCCTGGAAGCAGCCCGCGAGGCTTCCAACGAAGTCGAGGATTCTGGTATGGCTGTCGCTCAATCAGCAGCCCAGGAACTCGCGAGGCTCAAGCAGATCGGTCTCTGGAAGCTCGCTGCAAAGGATTCATCCGACAACTTTGACAGTGAGACGGCGCGCCTTGCTGCCGAGGAAGCCGATCGTGCGCGTGAAGCTGAGGTCGCTGCCGCTGAGGCCGCCAAGGTCGCCGAGGCATCTGCTGCTGAGGCTGCCGCCACCGCTTCCGAGGCAGTTTCTACCCCCGAGGAGGACCCTCTGGAGTCAGCCGCCAGCTTGATCGAAGATGAGTCCCCCGCTTCCGACCTCAACTCGGCTGGGGCCGC